GACAGTAACATTAGACAAGTTGCTTCAGAAAGTAGATTTTATTTTGTCTCTCCTCAGAAGAAAATTTGGAAACAGTGTGTTTCTCAGAATTCTGAGAATAAGCTGGTAGATCCCAATTTTTCAAGGAAAACCAGCTTGGCATCACCCCCTATTGATGTAAAGAGCTTTGTCTGATCTCAAAGTGAAGTTGAACTACCAGCATCCCTGGGGAATGCAGCTATCAAATGGTGTATAAAAAGATGATTGTCACACACAAGGAAATGTTATTTAAGTAACTCAAAATAGGACTTCTTATGAATGAGAACAATATTTCTTACATGGAGGAACTCAGCAAGTGCTTTTCTGATGAATGACACAGGATGTTAAGATCTCAAGCGTTATAACTTTTAGTGTCAAGTTGTTGGTTGCTGAAATAATATTCTTCTATTCATGACCTGTTACCTGATACTGTATTTTTATAAATAATAATAGAACTACTTTACAGCTTAGTTGATTTTTGTTTAGTATTTTGGTTGTTTGTTTAGTATGTGTTATAAATCTCCTAGCTATCGTTTATTCAGCTTAAATAAAAGCACAGTAAAATAAATACATTAATAACTACTAAAATGTTCTGCAGCTGTAGTTAATTCAATTGCAATTTTCCTTAAAGATTTGCAGTAAATCCTTTAACATATTTTAACGTCACCTGTTTGAGAAAATGGCTGCCATAGAGCTGTGACAGGCACAGAATGTTGGGGCAGCCCCTTCTCATTGCAGCCTCTACAGTAGCGTGTGCAACCTTTATAAATTAAAAAAATGGGTCATACGTAGCTCTAGGAAAGTCTGTTATAAGTTAAATCTGTGGTTAAGTGACTGGTTACTAGTCAAGGATTACCTGTAGTGGTACGGACATCAAAACTGCGGAGGGCCACATGCCACCTTCCTGTATTCTTACTGCACACGCATCATAAAGAGCTAAATTGACTATATCAGCTCATGACATAAAGAAATGTGTCTGAAAGTTTATCATTTTTCATTTTTTCTTCCTTTTTAAGATGAACAAGAATCTGTGCAAAAGCGGACTTTCACAAAGTGGATCAACACACATTTAGCTAAGGTAATACATTATTCTGCTTTTTATAGAATAAAAATGCTGAAGTTGTAAATTGGAAGGCTTGAAACAAGATCTACCACTTGTAAAAAGAAAGCATTATCTCTAAAGGAAAACTGGATAAAATGGATAATGTTGCTCTGCCCATTGAAGTAATTTAGAATGAAAACTGTCCCATTTGTATAGCAAAAGAAGGAACTATTATCATTACAACATGTGTTTCCTGTATAATGCTGGACAGGAAACTAAAAAGGAAAAGGAAAGTTTATATGTACTTTTCTTTCAAAACTATTATTCTCTTTTTTTAAAAAGAAGTATAATAAAATTATAATTGTTTTCATTAATTATTAATTACATTGATTTTTAAAAGCAAACAAAATGATACCAGATTTTCTTTGCATCTGGTATTTTTAGAATATCACAATATTCTATTTTCTTCTAAGAAAGTACACAATTCTGCTTTTAGTTTTAGAAAAAAACTAGCAAATATTTTAACATTCCACACTCCTGCTTAGAAATTGGAAGTACTCTTTGCTCAAAGATTGGAAACAATCTGGATTTTCATTCACTTATTGAATACTTCCCTCATTTCTTAAGAACATCATTACTGAAATCAAACTCTCACTTTTTAAAAGAGGGATGCAACTGGAAGTATAGTGAATGAATCCTACAGAGGAGGCAATTTTTCCACTTAAAAATGGCTCTGAATAATTTTCCAATCTTCTGGAGCAAGTTTTGGAGAAATAGCCCTGGAACAAGAGCCCTGATGGCACAGTGGTTAGAATGCAGTACTGCAGGCTAACTCTGCCCTCCATCTGGAGTTCAATCCTGATGGGATTCAAGGTTGACTCAGCCTTCCATCCTTCCAAGATCGGTAAAATGAGGACCTAGATTGTTGAGGGCAATATGCTGACTCTGTAAACGTCATAGATAGGGCTATAAAGCAATGTGAAGCGGTATAAAAATCTAAGTGGTATTATTACTGCTAAAAGTGACACAGCTATATGTGGAATGACAACAAAGGGAATTGCTGGCTGGTGTATAGATTGTATTTGCATAGTGCTGAATTTGTCTCATCTTAAGAAAATTGGAACTGTCTGATTAATTTATCCTATGGAACCATGAAGAATTCTTGTCTGTTTTGTCTGTCT